TCTGACGTCGCTGGCTGGCGGTGCATACAAGGATCCGACGTCGCCGGGTTGCGGTGCGTACAAGGATCCGACGTCGCCGGGTTGCGGTGCGTACAAGGATCCGACGTCGCTGGGTTGCGGTGCGTACAAGGATCCGACGTCGCCGGGTTGCGGTGCGTACAAGGATCCGACGTCGCTGGGTTGCGGTGCGTGCAGGGATCCGACCAGGGCTCTTGTGAGCAGACGCTTTTGTGCACAACTGTCTGGATGGCGCTGTGGTGCTCGGACGGGTTGGACTCCAGAAGAGCAGCCGCATGGATACCTCTGTACGGGGCATGTCTGCTGCCGGTATCACAGCACTAGCAGCGCGCGCGCGTGTGTGTGTGTGTGTGAGAAGGTGCATCTTGAGGCTCTGTAAGGGCATCAAGTACCCTCTCTGTGTGGGGAAGCACAAGGTCTGAATTTCCTGTTGCACTGGGGAAGGTCTAAGGGTGCGTCTACACTGCAAGCTTATTTCGGAACAAGCTGTAACAGAAGATAGCTTCCGAAATAGCTTATTTCGAAATAGAGCGTCCACACTACAGGGAAGCCACAAAATTAGTTTGGGGCAGGCTTCCCTAGTGTAGACGTGCTATCTCGATGTAGAGGCCCAAGGGGTCCTGGGGAGGAACAACTGAGCATGGCCGTGGGGAGGCTATTTCAATATAGCAGCGGTAGAGGGTCCACACCCCCCTCCCCCAAAAGAGCTTTTTCGGAAGAGGCGTTATCCCCCGTGGAATGAGGTTTACCAACGTCGGAAAACGCCCTCCCGTTATTTCGATTTTCTTTCGAAATAACTCAATTGCAGTGTGGACGCTGGTATTGTTTTTCCGGGATAACGGCCGTTATTCTGGACTAACGGTGCAGTGTAGACACACCCCAAGTCTCCTCTTACCACTCCACCAGCACGTTGGAAGCTGTCGTTCCCTCCCACTTTCTAAGCTTTCCACGTGACAGGTAGAATGCAGAGTAGGTTCCCACCCCCCTTGGCTGCTCAAAGATCTACAGGTCATCTTTAACTACCGTCACCTATATAGCTACACAAATGCGTACAGATATATGTGCTCACACACGCACTGAGATATCGATATGTTATATATGGTTTCTGAAAATCGCCAGGGGACATATTAGAATTGATGGAATATCAATCAATCACACCGTCATATTGACAATCACCCAATCTCGTATGGTTCTCCCGGGACATCTTACAGTCCTTTTGGTCCCCAGCGATAGCCTAGGGCTTGTAGGTTAGAAAGCAATAACACAAGAGCCTATTTTTTTTTTTCTGAAGAGTCATCTTATGGATACCAATTTGGAGCAAGGAACATTCCCAGAACAAATTTCAAATTGGAAGGTTCTTGCTTATTGTTAAAAAGGTGGTTAATATGCAATGAATCACTCTAAGGCAATTCTAAATTTCAATTCTCCTTTATGAAGCACATAATTTGGATCTGAATTTCCAACTGCCCACAGCTCAGGACTGGTGGATCGGGCCGTACATGAACAATACGTTGGTAACACAACAGACGTTTAATAAAAAGCCAGGAATTACGTTCAATGCTCAGAGCCGAAGCTGGAGTCACCTAACCGCTATAACATACGCTAGAGTCTCACAAAAAGGGCGAGGGGGGGAGGTGTTAATTGCTTTGAAATTTTATGTCACTAGTTGACACTGTCTGTTTAAATTCCTCACTCCTTAAGTATCTCATTAATATTGACTCTATGCTTCATAACGAACATTACTCTCCTGGAAAAGTCCTACGGCATTTAAAAGAAAATAATCCCAGTTGAATCCCATGTTATATTAAGGGTACATTTATCGAGAGTCAATGATTCATTAATGGATATTACAAACATGTCACAGACATGAGTAGCATGTGCTATCTATCACTATCATCGGTAGATGTTAGAGATAATTCTGAGATGTAGTTATAAGCAATCTATGTACCTGCTGGACTCTATTACAACTGTGTCAACCATTTATTAAAACATATATTAACCGTTTACTAGCCGTTTATAGATATACCCTTAGCAAAAAGTGTGACCGATATTTCTATAGATTTTTTCCTATCGATTTTAATACAAATTTCTATCCCTACTAGAGAATTCTACAGGAGGAAAATCATCGTGTAGAAAGGAGTGCCTTATCTATTAAGCCCTGTAGGTTTTTAGAGTTATTCTTATAGGAGCCTATTAGATTTTCAATAGGAGTGGAGCTGGGTGAACAAATTGATTGGTAAAGTTTTCACGAAAAAAAGGGCATTATCCAATTGGCTGGGCTTCAAGAGGGTTTGAACTGCTGCCCAGCATTTGTGACTCTTCAGACATTCACAAACTTTAGTCCAACTATTATTTCTTCAAACCTTCATGCCCCAAGTGTGTTAAGTGCTCCACAGTATTCTGCCGTTTATAATCAAACGTGTTTGGTCACTCAATCAGTGATCAGAAACGCCATGAGACTGAGGCAACCAATCACGTGAGCTGAACAAGGAATTGTCACAGGGAGCGAGGCCAGCTCTGGACACAATTGGTTGAAACTATCTGATGGGCACCTAGGAATCATGAAACTGTTTGCAGACACTCAGCACTGGCTGCGGAACAAAACTGCCCTTTTTCCTTCCTGGAAAAGGGCCTTTACTGAAGTCAAATATTATCCATAACTGAAGAGTCTGATCCTCATAGCTAACACGACTGTATGATGCCCCAGCAAGTCCACAATGACTTCAGGAGCGGTCTGCTGTTCTGCAAGACTTTTCAGAAACTATATCTATATATGTACACGTATATACACCGTATATACAGCTATACATATATGCTGCGCTCGTGTATGGCACTGAACAGGAGATGGGACCAGGCTGCCAACCACGGTGGGGTTTCAAAACAGAGGGCAGGTAGCAGCTGCCATCTCGGAGTGGCACGGGGGTGCACAACACACACAAGAGACACAGTAAGACAGGCACTATGGAGTGGCGTCACTGCCGGAGGAGGGAGATGAGAGGGGATATTTGTGCGGGAGGAGGTGGAAATGGGAGGGGGGGGAGTGAACTAGTCCCGGGGTTAGCGGCAGAGCGTGGGTCGATGGACACCTCAGCAAGCGCACACGCAAAGCTACCTGGGAGCAATGAAAACATGTCCCTT